CTTGTATTTCTAGCCAAGGATTACTGTTTCTTGCTGATTATATAGTATAGTGACATATTGAGACGGTAAAATTTTATTTCTGTGGAAGTAAAATCAAAAGCTCCTCTCATCATTGTTTCTTTCTTAATCTAGGCCACTTGAGAAAATGATTTTTGAGCCACTTTCAAAGAGAATTTTAGTTGGCCACATGCCTGTAAGTGAAGAGCACAGACAAATAAATACAGATATTTGCTTCTTAACTATTGAAAATTGGTCTCATATTTTTTTATTAATATTACTTAACATTAAAGTTTTAGAACATTGGACCTGTGTCTTGCACTTAAAATCTGTTTTCTTACCAAGAATCCACCCTCGATAATATTCTATAAGCGACAACCATCACCAGAGGATGCAGTAGGTGCTAATTCACCAGAGCAGCAGGGGACAGCCCAAGAAGGAACACAAAAACCAGCATTCATCTATGTGTGTCGTTTATTTCTGCCTTGGTACCTGAAGATTTCAAGCAGTCAGGGCACTGGGGGGGAACAGCTGGTTTCTGTGGTCGCAGAGAACTTCAACTGAAGGCTAGTTAATGGCCTTGATTACCATGGGAGGCACGTAACACTCTTATTAGTGCAACGCTGATTAGCGCAGTGCAGCAACTGCTTTCGATAACACTCTAATTGAGGTCCTTACTTGCATGGAATTTACATTTTGTATAGATAAATCTCCCAGTGTGACATTTTAATGGGTGTTTTAACAAAGTCCAAAGGACAGTTAGAACCATTACCCTCACAGGGATCATTTTTTTTTTTTTTTTTTTTAAGACAAAACAGACATGGTGCCAACATAAGAGCTCTTTTAAGAAAATCTATTTTAGGGCCTCCCTTGTGGCACAAGGGGTTAATAAGCACAGTATTGCGAAGCTATCCGCAGCCTCTGCAGCACGAGTTCAAGCCACAGCCGGCCAGGGAGCTACCCACATGGTGCAGCAGACCTCTCCTGTCTTGCCCACTGCTCCCCTCAGCAGTGTATTCCAGTCAGTCTGCCTGTTCTGTTCCCCACTCTATCTGTGGTGAACCCTCTCAGCCCCTGCACCTCTTGCCTATACCACAGTTCTTGTATGCATAAATAAATAAATCTTTAAAAAAAAGAAAAAAGAAAATCTGTTTTACTAAGTGCATGTTAGTGTCCCAGAGCAACCACCCATTTTCTCAGTTACATATGTTTTGGTTTCACATTTCTATCCTTTACTCCATGTTGATACCTCTCTGCTTTCTGATATTTGTAGCTTAGGTCCCAAACTAGAAATTGCCCTTTAACTAGTAGGTCAGTAATCAAACTGCTATAACCACACCATGGAATAACACTCAGCGATGAAAAGGAACAAACTATTGATAAATCCAAAAATCTGCATGAATGCATTATGCTAAATATAAGAAGACAGATTAAAGAAACTATACAGTATGATTTCATTTATATGACATTCTACAGAAGGCTAAGCTGTAGGGACAGAGGACATATCAGTGGTTTTCAAGGGTAAAGGTTGGAGGAAGCTCTTACCCCTGTTTCCAAAGGGACAGCAGAGGAAATATTTTAGGATGATGGAAATGTCCTATGTCCTCATTATGATTGTGCTATCGCTCTGTCTCTCACTAAAAGAGCAAGAACTCTGCTTTTGTGACTCATCCACATGCCCCAGTGCCTACAGCAAGTCCTAGTCCAGGGATAGTGCTCTTTTACTGCGTGTGAAAGAAACACACACAGTGTTTCCATGACCTGTGCAAAATAACTGCACACTTCCAAGACAGTATGTACCAGGCTTTCTTTATTTTTTTTTAAAGATTTATTTTATTTATTTATACAAGCACTGGGTACAGCCAGAAGCGCGGGAGGGTGAGAGAATTCACCAGAGCCAGAGCAGAGAGCAGAACAGAAAGACTGACTAAGTACACTGCTGAGGGGAGCAGCGGGTGGCAGGAGAGGTCTGCGCGCCATGTGGGACCCCTGCCCAGTGGCTGTGATTGAACTGGCGCTGCAGAGACTGCAGGCAGCTTTGCAACCCAGCGCTCAACCGCTGCGCCACTGGGGAGGCCCCTGTACCAGGCTTTCTTTTGACACTTTTTTTGGTCTGAATTCACACCAAACAGCATAACAACCTTGATTCACTTTTCCAAATTAAAATCTTAATTTATATATAGTAAAGTTCATTAGCTTTTCAGTTCTACAGTTCTTTGGAAACAGGGGTAAGAGCCTTCCTCCAACCTTTACCCTTGAAAACCACTGATACGTCCTCTGTCCCTACAGCTTAGCCTTTTGTAGAATGTCATATAAATGAAATCATACTGTATAGTTTCTTTAATCTGTCTTCTTATATTTAGCATAATTCATGCAGACTTTTGGATTTATCAATAGTTTGTTCCTTTTCATTGCTGAGTAACAAGTAAACAAATCAGTGAATTGCACCGCTTTGAAGAGGAATAAATGCTGTGGAGACAATGAAAGAGGCCTTGTGATAGTGGTGCTCACTGTTGGGCCTCTTTGAGGAGAAAACTTTAAAGCTGGAGCTAAAAGGTGTGAAGGAGGCAGCATGCATACAACCATTCAGGCAGAGCATGCCAGGAAGGGGTTGTAGCAAATGCACTGATACTGAGGACAAAATATACTGCATTATACAGCAAAGCCCTCTCACTTAAAACTCACAGAGAGGCTGGCTAAAGTACAGCAAACGTCTTTTCAAATGCCTCAGTGGGCTTTCAAGGAAATAAGGCCAAGTCCCTAGGATGGAATTAGGCTGCCTGCATTCAAAGAACTGGAAGCAGGTGGATGGTGCAAGTGATAGGGACCAGGGACCGAGTGAGCGGAGGGTCAGATTCATCCTGAGTGTGTTGGGAGCTGTGAGAGGCTTTCATGTAGCACAGTAAAGGGCTCTGACTGACATTTTTAAAATATAAGTTTGGCTGCTGTGGGAAAAGTGGGGTGTGGAGCTTCTGGAGACAGGAGGAGAGTCAGGAGGAGGGCAGGGTAAGATCAGGGAGCAGCTTCTCAGAGATGAGAGAACAGGAGGCTTTGAGTTAAATTTGAGAGATAGACTGGACATTGAGGGTAGTGAGGGGAAATAGAGGAATCAAGGGTGTTGTTTGGTTTGGTTTAGGGGGTGAATATCTGGGTGACTGGCAGTGTATCATTTGCTAAAATAGAGAAGATTGAAGAAGAAACAAGCTACACTGGGACACAGTATTTTTGAGATGTCTGTTAGGCTTTTCTGTGGAGATGGAAGTGGGCAGGTAGACTAGGTTTCTGGAGCTCTAGGAAAAAACAGGCTGTATTTCAGAGACAATAGCATGCAAATGGTATTTAAAGTCATGAAACTATGACTAGAAAGAGCCTGTAGACAGAGAAGGCTGATAAACAAGATTTGTGATATACCTATAAATATTTTGGGGGTCAGTCAGAGGAAGAGTCAGTGAAGAAAACTGACACCTTGAACCTACCCATAGAATTTATTCTGCTTATTGAATGTCTACAAAATGACTTAGTTATAGAAACAACTGATAAATTAATAAAATTTGAGTAGATACCCCTTCCTGAAGTTTAAGATACAGCTATTTTAGCAATTAGCAATCCACACAGCCTTCATGTAGTAACTTGCCAGAAAATGTTTGTTAACCTAAGATTGATTTAGCATATTATTTATACTTACATCATTTGTCAGCAAATTCTGTTTTGAAGAGTTATGCACAGACACTTGTGGTATAAGACTTTACCTCAGATTCCAATGGAGAAAATTTTGGCCTGTGACTTCAGGAAGTTACGTCACCTCCAGACTCTCCCTCCAGGCTCCTGTGCAAACAGTGAATAATTATATTGCTTACATGTGGGTATGGGATGTAGACTCCTTCACTTTTAGTCACAAAAAAGCATCACAAATGCCAAGCGTTGCCAAAAATTACAATTTTGCCTCATGTAATTCTTCTTATAAATTTCCTCTATATTTTCAATTAGATCTGATGTGCCTGATTATTTCTCTGTTAGAATCATGTTTGAACTTTTCCAACCATTTTGTATTCATTCAAATGTTGGCTTTCTTTTCATTCTTGAGGGAATTTGTGTCTCCTTGTGTTTGTTTTGAATATGTTACAAAATGCTATTTAAAAATTTAAAATTTGATCTATTGTATGACATATATTTGGAGAGAGATTACAATTGCCAGTTCTTATTATTGTGCTGGTCAGGGTACTGGTAGGAAAGTGATGACACCCCCAAAAGGGATTATTAAATAGAGTTATGTGTGAATGGTTAAGAGAAACCTTTAAGGAATAATAAAGCACCTCAGAGCTAGTAGCAGGAAGGCATCTTGTACCCACCTATATCCTAAAAGTACAAGAAGAAGAAGGGATTGAGAGAAACTGGCAAGAGTTGTGGCTATGAGGGAAGATTCTGGAGTATGAGAAAAACCACTGTCAAACTACCACCCAGCCAGCAAGAAGGGAAGCATGGAAAATAAATATCCTGAACGCTGTTCTCAACCTCAGTTCTCTGGCTGAGAGGAAACCCAGCCAGAAGTCAGTGGCAAGGGTGCGGCTGATCAGTCCATAGAGGTTCATTTCCTGGCACCCAGAGGAGGGGAAGAGAGAACAGCATGATTTCGAGGTACTAAGAGAAGATACCCAGCACAGGGTCTATTGAAAAAGCATCACTTCAAATTAATTTCCTCGACCTTTGGAATTAGGTTGCAAACAAACGTACATGCCCTCCACACTTAGGTCCTGACCCCTTTGGTTCCAAGCTCCTTCCTCCCTCACTTTCCACCCTACTGCTACTAACTTGGTTCATCCCTCATTACTCACTGCCCTCTGCCCTTGCACTACTTTGTCCTTAAAATCCAGCTGGTCAAGACCCAGGCCAATTAGATTTGACTAATTTATGGCACAGACACCCACAGTGATTGTGGAGGCAGGTCACTTCCCAGCAGGCGGCCTGAGAGGCATCTCCCTCACTCTTTCCTCCTCCTTTTCCAGGGTGGAGCTTCAGCATGGGGTCGGCCTACCAGTTCCACAGTTGGCGGGTGTTTGTGATCGTCTGCGCCCTCCCCTGCGTCTCCTCTGTGGTGGCCCTCACGTTCATGCCCGAAAGCCCACGGTTCTTATTGGAGGTAACACTTGTTATTAAAACACTCAAAGAAGCCGCATATGCTGGAAAGAGTTCCGTATTGATTCTAGGAAAGTTTGCTTGCCTCTTGGGGAGCTACATCTTTCCTCCCTACTATGGGACTATGGAGGGTTTAGTGTCATGGAGATAGGCTTTAAGCCTCCAGCATGTGGCAAAGCTGCCTCATGGCCAGAGAACACTAAAATTCCTCCTCAAGCAAGTAACTTTTGATTCAGTGAAGAGAATGTGTCTTATTGTTTTGTAAATGAAATTCAACTATCCAGAGGTGCTGTTTTTTATTGCAGGCATTGCCACTGACCTGCTAATGTACTCAAGGAATGTCCAAGTAGTCTGTGTGTTCCAAAGGAACTGCCTAAGCCCATTTGCACACAAATACCCTGGTTGATCTGGCAATACCAGAGGGCTACTGGACAACTGGGAAGTAGATTTATTTCACCTCATAGCACTTCTCTGTCCACTCACTTCTTAGGTTGGAAAACATGATGAAGCTTGGATGATTTTGAAGTTAATTCATGACACAAACATGAGAGCACGGGGTCAGCCTGAGAAGGTCTTCACAGTGAGTACTGCTCCTCAGCGCTTCCTTCCTCGCTGGGCTCAGACCAGACTATAAATTCCATTCTGTGCACCAGCTCTCTTGTCTCTCAGTCCCCTGTATTTGCCATTTTACCTAAGCCTGCCACGCTGCCTTGTGGTGCTGTTCCCTCTGCATGGAATGTCCTTCCAAACCTAGTTATAAAGTTTCTACTCAGGGGGAAAGCCAGTCTAAATCAATGAAAATTGGATGCAGAAAAATTTTAACTGGGATCAATGGTTTTTAAATGTTTTGTTATATGCAATTATAGTAAAAATGTTTGTCTAAAATAGTGTAAGGGAACATACAGTAAGACATAGAGGGTTATAAGTAAAATCAGTGTCTTATAAATAGTATCAATTATAGTTCTTGAAATATTGTTATAGGACAGGGAGAGGGGCAGCCCAAGCCCCGCAAACCTGCCTATTCTAAATGGGTTCTGCCATCCGCCGCATCAACACAAAACACATGAGACTTTAATGGGAAGGAACTTTAATAAAACTAGGAAACAATACAGGTAAGGCAAAGAGTCTAGTTTCTAAATGAAGCACCCAAAGTTACCCATCCCCTCGTGGGTAAAAGTCCATCCATATGGGATCGGCCCAGAACAAGGCCCCAAAGTCTACCACAAGTCTAAAACATCTTCCAGTGGGGACCCACAGAAAAGGGTCACAAACAACTGGACAAGCCCGGAAGGAAAAGAGCAAAATCAACATCAAGATAAAAACTGCCATTGTCACCTCCCCACGGGTCTCACCCACATCTGTGTCACCCAGTCCACGACCAAAAGACAAACAGTTTCTTTACGTGTCTCTAGGCTCCATGCGCCTCCTCCAGGTTTCCTTCTGGCTCCATCCTGCTTCCTTCCTCAGTCTCTTCTTCTGCTTCTCCTCTTCCTGCTCAGCTCCACCCTCCCTTGGGTGGGGCAGGGAACCTCCCCCTTTCCTGGGGACCACCCTGTTACAATATGAGCAAATAATCCCTGGTTAAATAGCCCCCTGACATCTTGTTCATTCATTTATACAATAAAAAGAGACATTAGTCTGGCTTTACCTAAATTATGACAGATTCTTTATTTGTAAAAATTTTTATGCTGTGGAATGGAGAAATGAATATCAATAGTGGATACCCCACTGGTAGACCTGGAACCCTTTGAGTAGATCCTTCTTTTGAGCACAATAGAGGAAGAATATTTGTAAGTTAAAGTATCATCGTAGGCTGGAGGAATCTTGAGACCTCATCTAGATACCCAATGTCACATAACCCTTGTTAGCCACTTTCTAAGAAAGTGTCTTTGTACAGTCCCTGCTTCCCTGATTCTTCTTCCAGAATGTTTGAGCTACCAAGTCCACTCATTGTGATCTGTATAAGTGCTATTATATAAAGATTAGGCAGTAATAAGATTGGAACATTCTAAAAGACTGGATAGTCTCTTCGAGCCCAGTTCCATTTGGAGAATTAAAAAAAAAAAAGAATGGATAACTCAAAGTCAGTTGACTTTGATTTACAGTTGAATTTCAAAGTTATTACTTGATTCTACCATGATAGATTTTTCCTTTTCCTTTTTATGTTTACAATGCCCAGTTTGCATATATTTCTCTAATATGTCCTTTTTAAGCTCTTCTTTTAAATGCTCCTACCTAAATACTGTTGTTTTCCAGAGCTTTATTTTCAGCTGACTTCTGTCACAGTACACTCTCCTTTGCTGATCTCCTTTATTTCCTCTATCTGTCTTAGTAGACGAATCTCCCAAGCTACAGACTTGCATGTTGAAGGGCTTTGTGGCCATCCTTCTGTGTACCACAGGCCCTTCAAATTCTGAATTTCTGAATCTGAACTCAGCACCTTAAGCATTTCCAAGCCTCTTCCTTGTCATATCAGCAACTACTACCAGCACTACCATAGTTGAAATCCTGAAGACTACTTTCTTTCTTTCCTCCTTATATTGAACAATAACTATTTACTTTTATTGTTCATAGTAAATAATGTCATCATTGTCCCTTCCTGTCATTGATTTGGTCAGCCCTCATTCCTCACTGCCCTCTCTCACTGGACTATTCTTTAGGAATCCAAAATTCTGAGGTTGGCCAATCCACTGTTTTCTCTCACACTTCACAGTGTTTTCATATAATTGTCCTGCTACTTGGAGTGTCCTCGAGGTAGTTTATATACATGGAAAATAATGCAGTTCTCTACAAGCCCTGGGTCAAATTCTGCAGTCCACAAAGCCTTTTCTCTCATTCCCAGGTTAAGTTGAATGTCCTTTCCAGTACGTCTCTCCCACCTGAGACAGGCTTTCTTTAGAGTACTTTTCACTTTGCATACTAATTGCTTGGAGGGTATGGGGTTTGATGTTTGTATGTCCAGGGTCTAGTGCCAGTCCTGGCACTTCTGGGTACAAATGAATAGCCAAACAAACACTGATGGGTGGAGAAGAGGAAGCCTTCCAAAAATTGTTTGTTGAATGAGAAGAATACCCTTGTGATAAAACATATAGAGAGACAGAATCACAAAATGCCAGCATGGATTATCTGGAACTGACTCTCTTTGTTATCCCACTTTTAACTCAACCATTATTTTCGTTACATAGGTGTGTCTTTTTTGCAAAGCAAGGAAGAGGCTACTGTTTGGAGGGTATAATATCAAAGAGGCCTAGGGTCCCTAATCAAATGTCAAATAGCCAACCTTGGCACCTGGATTCTCACAGCATACTGCCGCTTTGGAGGTTGGCAGAATCTCAAAAACGACCTGTTGAAAATTTATGTTGGGAGGTGCACATTTATGTGTCCTCTCAGATTTATCAAAAGCTGATGACTGTTGTCTAACAGGATAAGATGTGAGAGGCCCACAAAGGAACTGTTCTTTCTTTTCTTTACCTTCCTCTTTGCCTTCATTTTCTTCTGTCTCTTGGTTCTTTTCCTTAGCAACGAGCAGGCAGCTCTTCACAGTGGCGCTTATCATTTGTTCCCCTTCTGTGTCTGAAGAGTTGGCGTTGCCACTTACCTTGAATTCACTTGCTCAGCTTTGCACTGTGATCACCTGTGGGTCTTTTCTGAACAGCCACTGTGGTTTAGGCTGTGGAGAAGGAAGAAAGGATGACAGCGATGATGAAGGAATAAAAGTTGGATGGAAAAGATTTAAGAGCAATTTTTAGTGGCCAAATTTATTAACTGAGTAGGTTCCAGAGAAAAGTATGTATAATTACTTCAGTTCAAGCATTATAATTCTTAATACAGAAGCTTATCTGTCTGGATGTTTTATCTGCTAATGATTCAGAAAAGGCTGTTTTGGTTTCATTTAATTCCATTACCAGTTGCTCCTCTCCCATTTCTCTAGGATCTTCCCTTCCATTTGATCTTTATTTAGTTCCCCTACGGGCCATTCAGGTTTGAATACTTAGGCCAATGGCCTCTTATATGTACAGGGTGATAATCAAATATGTGTTTGCTTTTTCTTAGAGTCAGCTTTTGCTTTTTTAGAAACAGATTGTTCAAACAGTACAGAGAACAGATTGGTGGTTGGAGGGGGGCTGGCAGTGGGCAAAATGAATGAAGGGGGTCAAAAGGTACAAATTTCCACTTACAAAATAAACAAGTGATGGGGATGTCAATTTCAGCATGGTGACTGCAGCTAATAATATTATATGGCATATTTCAAAGTTGCTAAGAGTGTAGATCTTAAAATTTCTCATCACAGGAAAAAGAAATTTGTAACTATGTAAGATGATATATATTAACTAGGCTATGGTGATCAGTTCCCAATATACACAGGTATCTAATCATTATGTCTACTCCTGAAACTAATATAATATTAGGCGTCAGTCATACCTCAATAAAAAAATAACAGAAGGGAGAAAAAAGTAATGCTAAACTCAGCATCCTCAGAAAAGGGAACTCAGCATTTGTGTTCTGTTGCTCTTGACAGGTAAACAGAATCAAAACCCCAAAACAAATAGATGAGCTGATTGAAATTGAGAGTGACACGGGAACGTGGTACAGGAGGTGTTTTGTTCGGATTCGCACAGAACTATACGGAGTAAGTTACAGGCCCACCTGACTTGCCAGCCAACTTGTTGCATTTGAGCTTAGTCAGAAGGGTGTTGAACTGCCCAGGACATCTGACTCCTGGACCAGGACCAAATAATGGGATCCCTTTGGGATCACCTGTGGACCCAATATGCTGCATTTTGGGGGAAGGGACGGTATAAGGCAAGGAGTCCTGGCAGTGACCCAAGTTACTTTGTCCATTGGCCTCCAGGAAGCTGAAGAATGAAAATTCCATTATTGGTTTCCTATAACCTTTCTCATTTTTTAAGTTCAAGTAAATGTAGCCCAAGGATAACTCAACTGATTTATAACTAGGTGGAGAGGGGTGGAATGTGGAGCTGACTAGATAACTGCCTAAGAAAACTAACTCTCTCATTTTCACAGATTTGGTTGACTTTCATGAGATGTTTCAACTACCCTGTCAGGGAAAATACAATAAAACTTACAATTGTTTGGTTCACCCTGTCATTTGGGTAAGTGATTTAAATTCGTGGTGAACAAAATCTTTAAAATTCCTCACTGAAACTCCCGGGTGTGCTGCGTGCTTTTCTTATACTGTTAGCTCCTGTTAGCCTGCCAGGAAAGAGTTTTTTCAGCTTAGATTTGCTGACCGTTATGGTTCCTATACATTACTTGTTTTATTTATCTTGTCATAAGCTAGAGTGACAAAGCCAATAGTGTTTGGAGAGGACTTTTCTGGGTATTTTGTCCCCTAGACTTTTCCGCCCTCTTCTTCCCATTGTTCCGCCACAAACACACTCCTTTTCCCTTTGCTCTCCCATGAAGGTGCCAGACCTTTCCCATCTCCAGCTGGGGCACTGCCCTCTGCATGGAACGCTTCCCCCAAACATGGTCCAGCTCACTTCCTCACCTTCTTTGAGTCTTGCCTCAGCTGTCACCTTCTCACTGACACCTTCCCTAAGCACCCTCTTAAAACTGCAGCTGCTCAGCACTTCCCTAACTCTCCTTAGCTTATTGTTCCCCGGGGAACCTGCCCTCTCCTGACATAGGAAAAGCTTCTTTACTCTATAACGAATAAAACTCTGTCTTCCCCTCTGGAAGCTCTGTGAAAAGGGATTTTCAACGGTTTTGTGCACTGATACATGTTCCTGGCACATAATAGGTGCTCAAAATATAGTTGTTGTCAAATGAACAAAACCACCACACATATGTTCTAAGAAAAGAGGAGGTAGGAGGAAAACTTCAGAATTTTATTTGCTAGTAGTTGACATGTTGACTTCAGAATGTATGAATACAAGTCTATTTTTGCCTAATTTGCTGTTTCAAAAAGGCGATTATGTAATCCCCTACACTTCCAGGTCAGTGGGATCTTCTGGCCAGGGGGAGCCCAACATTTATCCTGCAAGTTCCATCTCTTAATGTCCTCAAATTAAAACAGGCAGGTGGTCCTAGGTGACCCATTTTTCCTGTTGCTGTGAGGTAATAAAGGGGGGACAGGCTACGCGGGATCAGGGGACTTCACATCTCCTTCTACAATGTGACTTGGGGACCTTACTAAGTTTTGGATTCTTGTTTCTCAATTGAGAGGGTTGATTTAAAAATACAAAGTACTTTCCACTCAAGTTCTAGAAAAACAATCTCTGAAGGAAATGAGGCCTGGAGATGAACACGGATTAAGTTCCTACTCTGTGTTCAACACTGGCTAGGTATAAAGAAGATGAAGCTAAGCAAGACCAAAGTCCGACTCTTGAGATGTGAAGTTACATGACAAACATGTGATTTATCTTGTGACCACATCTTACACTTGGTGATTTCCTCACTGATACCCCGGAAACATCAAACAGTGCCTCACATTTAGTGATAGTCAATAAATATTTGCTGAATAAATAAAAAATTAGCTGAAATTGCTCCACCTCATTGATGATAGAGGTGGGCAGCGTGTGACCTCACTGCAGACATTTAAGACTTTTATCTTATGTGTCTGACCAGACAGGTAGATGTTTCACAAGCCATTCTTACTCAGTAGCCACCAGATGTTTAATTCATCATCTTTAAGAGAAAGGGTTGAAATCTGGAATCCTAGGGCAGAGATGTTTCAGGGATCCCAATGACAATAATGATAATAAAAACTATGCAGAATTTTGACTTTCAGTGGTGAACTTAGTATATAAAGACATTGCTTTATATTGATGCACATGTGATACTTATATAATGTTATGATGCAATGTTGGTTCAATTAAAAATTTAAAAAAGCAAGACTGCATAGGCTTATGAGCACTCATATGCTGCTGGGGAATTTGCATCCCATTTAATCTGAGCGCCCACACAGAGAGGTGACGCTGACATTGTTCTGGTATCGGAAATCGGGTAATGAAGGTTAAGGTTACTAGACCAGGGTCACGCAGCAGCTAAGTGCCTAGGCCAGCATTGAATAGAGTGCACATACCTGCAAAAGCTGTGCTCACAACCACTTTTTTCCCTATGTAACTAAGTGTAACTGGGGAAAGCTAGAGCAGAGTTTCCTGAACTTGAGGGTGCATCAGAAGATTCTCCTGCAGCACTTCTGATCCTGTAGGTATGCTGGGGCCTAGGAATTTGCATTACTAAGTGTTTAGTGATAGTGATGATGCTGGTCAGGGGACCCTGTTTCAGGAACCCCTGCTTTATTATTTTTTTTTAATTGGAAGTAACATTGATTTATATTGTTGTCTGTGCTTTAGAAGTATGGGATCACCCCCTCCAGGTCTTGTTACTACACCACACCCATCACCAAATACCTACAGTCCTTCACCATAGTTCCCACTTTGTTTTCACCCCTCCCCCTCCTATCACTCTTCCCCCAACCCCAACTCCAGTTCTATAATCAACTTTAAAGGTTAGAGTTTTAGTTTGGCTGTGTCTGATCCTTTGTTTGATTTTTCTATATTCCATATATAAGTGACACCATCCAGTATTTATCTTTCTCCTTCTGGCTTGTTTCTCTTAGCATAATCCCTTCCAACTTTATCCATGTTTCTACAAAGTTTATCTTTTCTGATCACTGAATAGTATTCCATTATGTATATATACCTCATTTTCTTGATCCACTCATCTGTTTTGGCCACTTAGTTTGTTTCCATAACTTGGCTATTGTAAACGGTGCTGCAGTGAACATGGGAGTGAAAGCTTCTCTTCATATTAGTGTTTTTGTATTCTTCAGGGAAACCTTACTTTTGAGCAGTGCTGTCAGATAGGAATAAAATGTGAACAACATGTGTTGTATTTAACTTTCTGGCAGACACACTAAAAAAGTAACAGGAAATGGGTGAAATGAGTTTTGATAATGTATTTTATTTAACTCATTAAGCCCCAAATATTATTTCAACCCACAATCAATGTAAATATGACTAGTGACTTCTTTCACATTCTACTTTTCTTAAGTCTTCAAGTGTGGTACTTTATACTTACAGCACAATCTCAATTCAGCTGCTCAGTAGCTGCACATAGTTAGGGTCACTGTACTGACGAGCACAACAGCATGATTCAGCTGTTAGCTGTTAGAAGTAGTCACCAAGAGGCAGAAAGTGGAAATAACCTGGACTTTCTGATAATAACCTGAATGGTTCTTTTCCCAGCTTTGACCCATTTGAGAAATAGGGATCTGCCCCCAGGATAGCAAAATCACAGTAACGTGGGAACCAAAAAAGAGTTTCCCTTAAAAGAGGTCATTCTGTAAGGTCACTTACAATCTTGGGACCCCAGGAGCTTGGTCCACCAGACTGGGAGATGAGGTTCCTCTGTGCAATTGTGGTAAAATAGATGCCATAAGTATATGGGATGGGTTCTAATGCACATCTCTTTCCTAAGAAAGTTTCAAGAATTGTATACCTGGATGACCCAGGTAATCCCAGGCCATTTCTCTGACGTGATTTTTGCAGATTTAATCGTTGCAGGTGGGAGACAAGATTACTGCTCAATGATTCATAATGTTATAGGGAGTTAGTCATAATCAGAAGTGCTTCATGGGGAACCACTACCTCTCTGAAAGTGTTAGGGAGGCAGTCACTGTGGCCGTATACTGGAACATACTCATTTCTTTGTCTTTGCAGGTACTATGGATTATCTGTTTGGTTTCCTGATGTCATTAAACATCTGCAGTCGGATGAATATGCATTATTAATTAGAAAGGTGCAGAAAGAGAAATATGCAAATTTCAGTATTAACTTTACAATGGAAAATCAGATTCACACTGGAGTGGAATACGACAATGGCAGGTCCGGAAACTTTGAAATTTGTTCTCTGTTCACAAAACCTTATTTCTTGCTTAGCCTTCACTGCATTGAAACATGCATCATTGTTTTTCTGTTGTGCACTTAGTCATTTTCAGCCTGAATGTGAATGCTTCCAAATAAGCTTTAAAAAAAGGTACAGTTACTTCTTCAAAACTACTTCTAAAGCTGAGTTGTTTATTAGGAAGTAGAATTGAAAGATGTGAAAAGAAAATTTAGAGAGACTGGAGAGAAATAAAAGGTAAGTTAGGAAAGAGTGAAAGCATAAGAAAATGAGATGGGTTAATTCAGGAAGAAATCCAAGGTGTAACTGATAACTGTCTTCTATCACTGAAAGACCACTTTCTACAATTCTTCCTTCTTCACTATGCTAAATCAAGAATTAGGGCTCAGTTGTGTCAGAATTAGTTAACAGAAATGATTCCCCAAAATTAAGAGCTTTGAGAATATGGAATAAGTTAGCAAAAGACATTTTTGAGTATGGATTCTAGAATGCTTCTTGAAGATGAGAGAGAACTAACTGGCTCTGGTTCATTCTTTTAGAGGGGAAACGGGTGAACAAAGTCTTGATTTACACCCATTATTTGTTGTCTGAGGAAATCATTGCTGGTATGTGTTCCTGATGGTTTACATCATTCTTAGGAAGTTGACCAAATTTCAACTGTGATAAAAGTAAAAGTCTAAGACAATCAAAGTTTCCCAAGTAAAAGCAGTTTGGGAATGATAAAAAGAATTTTGTGGGATGCTTATGGTTGGTGTAATAAAAAGGAAAGCTACCCACATGGAGATAAGTGTTCGAACTGGCTATACAGTGGGGGACCTAACCCTAATCCAAACTACACAGGATCACCTCCTTCTCCCACATAAAATACTGAGTCAAATCAGCACTTGTTTTTCCACAGACCTTACAGTCAAGTGCGCTGTAATTCTGGGATGTGAAAATTTACTTCATTGAATTACAGAAATATTGTCACCCCTTTAGAAGTTTCTGATATATGTTTATGTCTGACCATTATATATATATATTAATATTTATTAAAGTTCTAAGATGGCTATTCCATCGTCACTAAGAACTTTTTTACATTAGTAATACGATGACTGATAATAGCATTAAAATCCTAGTAAAGCATTTACTTTGAAAATGATAGAATTTTTTGTCTTTTAGAGAAATTGGAATTACCACTAGCTAATTTATTTTTTAAAATACAATTTTCCTATTCAACATCTTAAAATGGCAGCCCTTTGTATATACTATAAGAATAACCTCCACGATAACTCTCAATAAACAAGCCGAATGTAGCCTAGTGTGTCTGGATTGCTAGCACTCTGTACACGGAATGCTCCTGGACAAGCACAGAGAAATGACAATGGTGTTCTCTTTGGCATAAGAACCAGGTGACTTGAGGATGCCTGGGGAAAAACTTTTTCCCTTTTTCAACATTTTGAATTTTGTACCAAGTGCCCTTAGTGTATATATCATCCATTCACAAAAATGGGTTCCCCTTTCTAAATTCGGTCCCCTTTCAGAAAATCAATCATCTTAAAATGTGCCATTATTTAGCTTGCTTTCTTGGGTAAATTGATGGTTTAGGTGATTTTACTCTGGACCCCTGGAGTAGGGGTTGAAATAAGGATATTTTTTAAGCTGGTTGATCTGTTAGGTCACAGTGCACTCTGCATAACAAGTGCAGCCAGGCATAGGGTGAGAACAAGTTAGTGAACTACTTTTAAATTAGTCCACTTGTCCAGGAGATCAGTTCTTTCTACCTCAAATAAGGGTGGTATTTGGTTTAATAAATACCTAAGTCGAACAAACATTTTCCTCACAGTGGCTGACTTATGTATATATTCACAGTATCTTAATACATTACCAGACACCTTGATGAATATAGGTCCACATCTCCTGGCAGTCCTTATCAACATAGATAGATCTAAATCATAGACGCTTCCAAGACACCAGATCATTAAGACTATTGTCATCTTCACCACCTAGAATTTCCCCTTGTAGCACCCAACCTGCTTGTGCCTGAGCAGGTTTCATCTTCTACATGTTTTCAAAAAATAAACAGAGCTTTCCTCATTCTACTTAATTCAAGGAATACCAGTTGGCTGTGAGAGGAAAAATATTCTTGGAAATGAATGTGGCCTGTATGTTTCTTCACCCATGAGTCAATCCTTTCTCACATAAATGGGGTGGAATTCTTATGTCCTCTCCTTAGGATAATTAGCATTCCTATGTTAGAATTTAAAAAAAGTGTTGGGTTTCTAATTAGGGAACAGACTTTCATTCAAAGTGAGCATGGGAGCACATCCTCAGGTTAGAGCCACTGACCCCAAGTAGAGAACTTTCAAATAACAGCATATGGGATGGAACAAGAGGATGGGATTGCAAAGTAAAGATGTAATAGCCACAGGTAATCTCCAAACTCTCAACCTTCAATTGCATATCCCATGAAACATTCTGGCAATATCTGAAGTTATCTTGAATTTAATTTCATCTTCTGCTAGAAAATAGTATTGATGAGCAATGAGATAAGCAAAGGCTGCAGAAGGGAAATGGGGAAAAGCTGAGACCTTAGGAAATCCAGAAACCTTTATAGTTTGCCTTTATAGTTAAGAGAGTTCGTCTGTAATTGTGTTTGATTTTGCTTTAAACCCTGATAGACGCAGTCATTGATATGAAATTTTTGTGTGTGTTGGGCAGATTTCTAGGTGTCAAGTTCAAATCTGTAACATTCAAAGATTCAGTTTTTAAGGCCTGCACCTTTGAGGATGTGACTTCACTTAACACTTACTTCAAGAACTGCACCTTTATTGATACTGTTTTTGACAACACAGGTAGGTTAACCCTGCCTGGGGCATCTTCAAAGGGTAGAAACATGATGCCTGTGTGGTAGTGTGGGCAGAGGCTTATGGAGATTACAGTGTAAATGAATGGAGTCCCTTGGTCAGGTTGGACTAATATTAAGCTTGTACTGTTTGTCCTTGGTCAGACTTAACACAAATGGAACTTTGCTGATATTCAAAATTGAATACAAAAATTCCCTTCTGTGATTTTTAAAAATTTTTTTTAACCTGTAATTTATCTGTTTTGGTCATCCTGGTGTAAAAACTTGGTGTTTTCTGAAGCGAGAAATCCTATATTATAATAAAATAAACAAGGATGTTTTAAAAATAAAAAAGGAAAATAAATAAAATAAAATTTGGCATGTTAAGTGAACATGCCTGAATGATAGTCAACAGAGATAGAAACACTTGGTTGTGTTTAATGAGATACAGTTTTCTAGCCTAGTTCATCTCTGGAAAACTCCCCAGGGAAAAAATTTCAAATGGGGGACCAACAATGACTGAAAACCTACTTTGTGCTGCTTCTTACTCTAGGCCATTAGATGATTTCTTTCTCAGTGTTAGCAATAACTGAGGCTTAGATAAATAACTTGGCCACAACCATAGAACTAGTAACAGCTGAGACTTGAACACAAGTTCATCTGATTTCAAAGCCCACTCTTTTCCACTCCCTACTTCCACCCCCCACACGTGTCTGTGTTCTGTGATGAGTCCAGAATAGCAGCCCCACAGGGACTGGAGTATCAGCACTACTCTGCTGCCAACTCTGCCTTCTTGGTGCTCAGACAGGAGGAGCCATCTCTGGCCAACTCCAAATGAGAACAGGGTCAATGTCAGTGCTTTTCTTGAACAGTACTGTCGCTGTCTTCTAACCCACTCAACCTCAGAAGAGCAGCTCATTTTGGCAGATTTTGCTTAGCAAAGCAAGAGAACAGTTTTGATTCTCACTGCCTCTTAACAGAACCCGCCATCTGCAAACCCTTTGTTGCATAGATTCAAATTCAAGAGAAATCAGCAGTGAGTGCTTATGACCTGCAAATGAGCCTGAGCTGGTGCAAGGGTGGATTCTTCCACTTAAGTTCTATATTCAATCTCAAGAACCTCAGGAAAGTCCTGTTCCTTCTCTGTCCCTCAGAGTCCCATAAAATGGCAATAATATAACTGATTCATGCACATTTTAAAACAAATTGTTCTTGGGGCCTCCTTGGTGGTACAAGGGGTTAAACACAGCACTATGAAGCAATCCGCAACCTCTGCAGCACAAGTTCGATCCCCAGCCGGCCAGGGAGCAACCCACATGGCACAGCAGACCTCTCCTGTCTCACCTGCTGCTCCCCTCAGCAGTGTATTTCAGTCATTCTGCCTGTTCTGTTCCCCACTCTGTCTCTGGTGAATCCTCTCCCCCACACACATACCTCTGGCCTGTACCCCTGCTCTTGTATGCATAAATAATAAAAATCTTTAAAAAAATAAAAAAGATGAAAAAACTGTTCTTGTAATTGTTGGAGGCTATTAATACTTTAATGATCAGCTTTATGTAACAGAATAATTAGAACAAAGTAACATTATAAAGTAGTAAGCCAGTAGTAGAATTAGCAATCACCAACCACAGAAATCAGAAGCTAACTGGACTCTTTAAAGAACTTAATTTATTCCTTTATTCAGCCAAGGTGTGTCTTCTCTCGACTACTTTGTAAAGTGATGTCCTAGACTAGACCCTGCACTTTGGCCAAGAAAACACCCAAAAGTCAAACTAGCCCAGACATGCAACCCCCAAGGGGTCTGCAGTACCAGGATTCTTTTCAGAATTCTGAACAGACTTTCTTACATGGATGCACAACTGTCAAGAGCTTGATGAATTGTCTTCCTTTTCTTTACAGATTTTGAGCCATATAAATTCATTGACAGTGAATTTCAAAACTGCTCATTTTTTCACAACAAGACCGGATGCCAGATTACCTTTGATGATGACTATAGTGCCTATTGGATTTATTTTGTCAACTTCCTGGGGACACTGGCAGTGTTGCCAGGGAACATTGTGTCTGCTCTGTTGATGGACAGAATCGGGCGCTTAACAATGCTAGGTATGTGCTTAGTTTCATGTGAAAAAGAAAAGAGCAACTTCTACAAGCTAGAGGGAGCTCGTTCCCACTCCTGCCCCTTTAGGGATTTGCAAGCACAGAAATGTGGAGGAATCCCTTAAGACATTACATTAGGAGTAAATTTTAGTGAAAATTATGACTAATTACATTTCATCTGAGCAGCTTTCATGAGTTAACAGACTGAAAAACTAATTATGTGTGACTAATGTATATGTTTCCACTTAAGTAGCTGAATAATTGATGTGCGTTTCATGCTCGGGGCTTGGGAAGGCAGGCTCAGAGGCAAACCTTCACACCCGGGAATGTCTGTGGACCTGTGCTCAACACAGCCCAGTCTGCAGCTTCCCCGGGGCATTCAGTTTTACTGAAAGACCTTGAAGATGCCTGGGTCTTTGCTCCACTGAGATGACGGAAAACATTCCCATCTTTCATCTGGTTTTTGGCAGGGGGCTCCATGGTGCTTTCAGGGATCAGTTGTTTCTTCCTTTGGTTCGGCACCAGTGAATCCATGATGATAGGCATGCTGTGTCTGTACAATGGATTGACCATCTCGGCCTGGAACTCTCTGGATGTGGTCACAGTGGAATTGTACCCCACAGACCGGAGGTATGTTGAGATGGGTCTCTCAATCAGCAAACTGTCATTTCCTTTCAAAAGAAACCCCCCCAAATATCTGATTTATGAAGTTGTAGTTTCCACATGTATCTTTTTTAAAAAAAATGCAGGTAGACATAGATGCTGGCTGGCATAAGGAGGGCAGGGAGACCGTGAAGGAATCTATGTCTATGACTTAGTCTGTGGCTGACAGTATACAAGCACTGTAGTGAAGGCATGAGGACAGCATGCAATGGGCTCTCTTGCTAGGCCTGTCTGTAGGAGGCCACTTTTTAAGCCACTCGTCAGTCCTGAGAGGGTCTTTCTTTCAAGTTTTCAGGTGTCTGCATGAACTCTGAATTAAACAGTCACAAAGAGAGCTCTAGGAAGTATTTCTTGACCTTCCTGACCTGCTGGAGGAAAACCCAACACATTTCCAGTAACAAAAAAATAGTAGAAGAAACTTGCTATTAAAGGAAAAGTATGCATCTGGTCCCAAAATGGAGACACAGATGCTTTGCGCCTCATATCCGAGAAAGGGCTAGAAGGTAGGGCTTTGGGGTAGAGTTTCAACAGCTGAATAACTGAAAGAATAGAAGCCTTGTTTTGCTGTTTGACATGAGTGAAGACAAATGGCCTTTGCCTTCTTTTATTCTGCATGCGTGCTTTGTCACCATGGAAGCCCTCTCTCCTGGAGGATGGAGACTGTGTTCTCTGGACTTTGAAAAGGAAGCAGGTTTTTTTCTTCACATTGGGACATTGGAAATATCAATTTTAGACTGATCCTGAGTTCCTTCACTTGTTTATTAGCCCTACGGGGTAGATTCTTTGCATGTTCAGACTCTAACTTGCATGTCTTCTGAACATGAATAACAGAACTTATAAGAAACCTCTAGGCACTCCTGTATCAGCTGCCTGCAGAAATCTGACAACTCAAGGACCCTGGCTGTTTGTTTAGTAAATATTCTAATCCAGTGAACCAGTTCCCGAATATTAAGCTCTGAAAGACTCACACCACTGCACACTTTGCCTCCACTGCCCAATGAATGTCTATTTTCTCCAACCTTTTTGTGGACAAGCTCCTTGGGCTGGGTACCATGGATATTGGGATGAGGATGCTGTCATAAACAAGATTAAGATACTTTCATTAACCTCTCATTCTGCAAACAGGGCCCACATATGGATTAATTAAACATTTAAAACAAATCCTTCAGTATTAAGCAAGGCAATGTCCTAGACTGTTAACTTTTTATTTTATGATAAAGAGCTTGATAACATTTTCAGTGAACCAGCTGTTTATCCCCCCTCCATAGGATCGGAGAGAGGATTGTTCCCCTGTAGCAAAAACCTCTCTTTTTTTTTTAATTTTTTTTAATTTATTTATTTATTTATTTATACAAGCACTGGGTACAGTCAGAAGCGCGGGAGGGTGAGAGAATTCACCAGAGCCAGAGCGGGGAGCAGAGCAGGCAGAAGGACCGAAGTACACTGCTGAGGGGAGCAGCGGGCGGCAGGAGAGGTCTGCGCGCCATGTGGGACCCTCCTCTGGTGGCCGGGGAGCAGCCGGGGATCGAACCGGCGTGGCAGAAGCTGTGGGCAGCTTTGCAACCCAGCGCTCAACCGCTGCACCACCGGGGAGGCCCTAAAACCTCTCTTTTTTTTAATTTTAAATAATTCTTACATCATTTTTCAATTTTGCACAATGTATGCATTTTCATTTTGATTACATTCCCCGTACAATTCTCATCCCCCTTATTTTGACCCTAAACCCTCCTCTCCTCCCCCCACCCCAGTGTGTCTCTGGTTTATAGTTGCTTGTTGATTTTGATTTTTTTCTTTATTATAATTAGTCTTTTTCCTGGTCCCTTATTTAGGAAAAAATCTATTTAAAAAACAAAAAGCTTGGATCCTTGCTTTGAAAAATATGGACCTGCCCTGCTGTGTTTCTGTTGTTGGGATGGTTAAACATCAACTAGATAAAAACAGAAGTGGTTGTTGGTGTTAGATCAGATCCTCCAAGAAGCAGAGGACAATATGGAATTAAACATGCACAGATTGCATTAAGGGAAGTGGCTGAGAGATGCTGGGGAGGGAGGTGAAGCCTGGTACCTGAGGGAAGGAGCAGGGAAGGAGGGTCAGCGGGAGGCTCCCAGACCACAGGCGATTGAGGAATGTTCGACTGAGTAATGTTCAGTGAGCCTTGAGGGGGAAGGGGATGGTAACAGTGTCAGCTTCAGAGGAGTCCTCATGTCCCAGGAACCAAGCTGCCTTAGTATTCCTGTCAGTTCAGTCACTGGGGCAGCAAAATGCAGTGCTGCATTTCAGAGCAAGCAGCCAGGGCAAGGAGTTGGAGGTCTGCAAGGTGCCTTCTCAGGTAGCGGCATTCTGTAGCACTTCAACACATGTGAACAGATGATGTGCATTCCTTCAGCCCTGGAGAGCTCATCTGTCTCCAGACAGCATTGCCAGAGTCATGGGGATTGAGCTTGTCCCACCTCTTCTGCTTCAGGCTAAACCTTGTCTTTGTCTCTGCATGTTACCCTGGTCCTGTGAAGAGGCCCCCCCCACTCCTTTCCAGAACTCAGTGTCAGGGGACTGAAAGTTGCAGCCCTCAGTTTTTCTGATTGTAGCCCACTCCTGAGGCTGTCCAGGGGTCCCTCAGGTTGCCTTATTAGCATAAACTCAGGTGTGCTCAAAAGTGGTTCCTGATTACTATGGCAGACACTCAGGAAATTCCAGTGGTTTTAGGAGCTCTGTGCCAGAAACCAGAGACAAAAACCAAAATTATTTTATTATACCATAATTTTCCATTATGTAACTATCGCTAACATTCTCATGTGCTCAAAATCCCAACATCCTAGATAAGTATAACATTTAGAGATCTCAAAAAAATGCCCTCAGGACATTTTAGCACCCCAGCAGTAGAAGCTCATGGACAGTGGCAAGCCCATGATGATTTGAAAGGCACAGAAAAGATTATGGACACACGCAAGCAACTTTACAGAAGCCACAGACTTGTAAGGACTCTGGGCTGGTAGTGCATCTCCACTGGATTATTTTAGTATGTCCATGTAAAATGCAACTTGTTTATGGAGATGAGAAGGAATCAGTTTCTTACAATAGAATTCTTCGGGAAGCTTTTTAGTGATTCATGATGCTCTCAGACTCCAAATATATGCTCACTAGCAAGTCTTTAATTCTTGACCCTATCTATGTGGAGTTGGCTCCAAACCCCACAAGTTAAAGGGCCAATCAAAAGATTGCCTCCACTTCTGAAACAGCCACAAATGGGGTACCCAGCCACAAGTGGAATTCCCATGTCCTCACCCCCACAGATTTGATCATTTGTTACAATACAGAACTCAGGAAAATGCTATATGCTTATACAAATACAGTGCAAACAATGGTCAGATACAAAAAGATCAGGTGCCTCTGTCCCTCCAAGTTGGGGTGCATCACCCTCCTGGCATGTGGATGCAGTCACCAATCTGGGAGCTCTCAAAACTCAGTTTTTGGGGGTTTTACGGAGGTGTCACTATGAAGGCATGATGGATCACATCGTAGGTGATTAATGATTAAATGTAATCCCTAGTACCTCTCCCTTCTGCAGAGGTAAGGAGTAGGGAAAGAACTGAAGGGTCTAATCTTCCTTTCAGCATCATTTATCATCCCCCACCCCCTCCCTGCCAAGGTTGTACCACCACCTATATTGCTTTCACCCCTCTTTTGGGATAGACGCTGAAAGAAAATAAATTCCATTTGTTGGATTCGGTCAAGGCTAGTCGAACATCACCTGCTGTTTTAACTGGGAAAAAATAGTAAATTTGAAAAATTGTATAATGATAGGGTGACCTGATATATCCACTATTGACCCCATTCTTCATTCACCCCCTGCCCTTTTTTCTCCCTTTCTTGGTCAAGGTTTTAAATCTGAAAGTCGTAAGTATAGCCCACCTGGTATAAAAGGTCACATGCTCTGGCTCATTTTGGTTCTCAGATCTGGCTACATGTGCATCTGCATCCAGGAGGTGGCTTCCTGCTGCCATGCCATGGACATGGCGGAGACCCACTGCTCACACTTCCTGTGTCTTATGGCCCCTCCTCCATGGGACTCAGGGCAAGTGTCGAGACCCAGGCTCTCCTGCCCGTCTCCAGCTCCTCACAGACTCCCTCAGCCCAGCAGCCTACCTCACGGGTCTACGGCAGCATCCTCCTGCCTTTCTCTGGCCACTGGCTGACTCTTCCTTCCTTCCTTCTCCCTTATGCATGCAGTTTCAGACATGACCTCAGAAAGGATTTGAAAGTAAAACTCTGATTGTTGCCACCTGCTCGTCCCTGGCAGCTGCTGCTGTCACTGTGGAAAATGGCCTCTTGCTTGATGAGCTGAAGTCAGTACATCTGTCCAGAATGAACCAACCTAAGTTCCTCCCTTTAGGACTGTTACTGGGGAAGTTCCTCTTTCTTTTCCCCCCTAATCCCAATCTTAAAGGTGTTTAATCCTGAATCTCTTACCAAACAGCCATGTACCCTCAGGGACATCGGCATAACTATAAGTCAGCTATTTGAGACAAAATGAGGAGATTGAGACAAATGATATCTCAGCATCTTTCTAATTGTAGAATATTCTTCACCATGGTGTTCCATAATGGCAATTGCTTTGATTCTTTCTTAAATACATTCTAATCTATAGTCACAAAGACCTTCACTTACTTTATGAAGATTGTTGATATTAAGAAATCTTATCTTCAACTATCTTATCCAAACGTCTTGTATTTCACCCATGTCCCTTTACCCTACTTTATTTATCAATAGGCCTTATTATATTATATATGTCTATATTTTATGTGATCTGAGTCACTTCAGCCTTTCAGAAAATGTCAGATCCTATTTTGTCTCTGGCAGTTAGGAGTTGGGTATGTGGGGGTGGAGGTTATATGACCCCTTCGCTCATAACCTCACCCCAGGTGGTATATCACAGTGGAAGCAAATCCTAGCAAATGTGAAGATGCTCC